GAGATACTTATACTCATCGAGAAGGACAAGTACATGTATAAACACGGCCTCCACACTTCCGGGCATTTCAAGGTCTTCCACATAGCCTTACCAGCATCAAGAAACTTCCGGTTGATCTGATATGAAGAATCCAAAATTAGAATCTTATCCTTGCTAAAAGCTAGTCATCTCATCTAAAAGCCCAAGCTATTAGAGAGGGACCTATGTATTTTATTTAAATTTAGTCTTCAACGTATCCCTTCACATGCAAACCATGATTAAGTTTTATCAAAAATCAGACACTTGTACAATTTTCATAAATGGGTGATAGAGTGACCTCAACCCAAGTCTTTAGACTAGTTTGATATCATGTTAAACTATCTCCTCTAAAAGCATAAGCTGTTAGAGAGAACACATGTATATATTTAAATTTAGTCTTCAATGATGCCAACTGTGCAATGGGAGTGCATGAGTACCTGCTGATGTGCAAAGCTGGATGTCTGATTTTCCTTAAGCAAAACACCAACTAACAACACAAGTCCAGCTGGTATTGTCAACAAGCCAAACACCCCCTTTGATTCAGAGAAAAATCATAAAAGGTAAATCAGATTTGCATATGCATTTTAATCTCTAACAAAGTCACAATATTTTCTCAAAGAATACGAAGAAGCTAACCTGTGGACCAATTAAGTGAACAAAGATACCACTTAAAGTGAAACCCATGAGAGACCCAATTGAAGCACTCAATGCACATAAGCTTTGCATGTCGGCCGCAAGGGATGGATGGTTATTACTGTTCTGTGCCACACATGCATCAACAGTCACATCAGCAATGGCAACACTTGCACTTGCTGCCGTCAGTGACATCAGCGTAAGTATTATATGCAGCTTCTCATGCAATGATAAGAAGAGCATGGAGATCACACCGAGAAAACCTGAATTTATCAGGAGAAAAAATAATGTATCAGAGGAAAAGGGAATCCTAGAAATGAAAAGCAAAGACCATTGTTTTTTAATTCCTACAATTTTCCTTTTATGGATATGCTCTCACGAGTCAGCAATAGTCACAACCAATGATTTCCTCTTGGAAGAATGAGAAGTATCAGTGATGCTTAAGAATTCGATTACCAACAAATCCTAAACCATAAAGATCCCGAGCAGCTAGTTTCCTTGGGTTTTTGCATAGATAAACATTTCTGAAACCTTCGACGCTGTATACTTAGTGTCAATAAAAATTTTGGTAAACTGGATCAACTGTCCTACTAACGGGCATGGGCATTTTCCATGTGTTTTTTTCCTTCTTTTTATTTTCTTTAATTGATTGCTGATAGTTTTCCTTAATTCTTTAGGGTAAACACATTCTAGTTTCTATCATACCAACCACCCGAGTTTATTACCTTTTACTCTTTCTTAATACGATTTACGTAAAATTTTGATCGTTCTGTTTTCTCACTGTCCAAGAAGCTAACATAAAATTGATAACCAAGAAAATTTACCAATTCATATTGTATGCTTAAGGTAATTTCTGTATGTTACAGATTACCAACTCGTGTTTGTAATAAATACATATGGGGATCATCATTTCTTCCTAGTCCTTAAATGTGTCATCTACAGTAGATGTCAAGAAAGCAGGATCAAGGAATCTTAAGCTGATTCAACGTTCAACTTTGTTGATTCCATCTGAATTGCAGTTTTCATGTAAAATTCTCACTTTCCATTTATCCGTTTTATTTTTGTTATGTTAGTCTTGTGAGATTTAACACTTTTCAACAGTTCTAAGACTATTGAAAATTTACTTAGTGGAGCCTTAGATGCTCGTTACTTGTCAGTCATAGACTAAATCACGTGTTTTCAAATTTGAATCATATACTTCCTATTAACATGATTCCCTATCTTCATACTTCTTAATGTGGATCCACCAGTACATTAGTTTTCATGAAAAGTTTATAAAATGAATACCACATCCACGAATGCTCGTTTTTCTATTTCCTAGGAAATAGTATTTCCATGAAAAATTTGACTTGAGGAAACTAAAATCTTGTTTATCATACTGTCCTAAAAAATGCAAACCGAACATGCACTAATAGTTCAAGGATCCTATGATCAAACAGTAATACAAGATTAATCACCAACAAGTCCAAAGTACATTAAAACATGAAAAGCAATAAAATGCAAGGGACACAAATCGAGAATCACGATAAGCAACAAGGAACAAATCAAGAAGCCATGTGAAATTTGCAATAAAACGTTAACACTTTACCAGCAAAAAGGAAATAAGGTCTCCGACGATACCCCAAAATGGGAACAACATCAGTGAGAAGACCCCATAAAGGTTTAACTATCCAAGGAATGGAAGTGATTCCAGAGTAAACCTGAGCCTCAGAAGGTTGCACTTTTTGCACATCCTTCATGTAATACTGTGTGCCCACCCGAGCAAGAGCTCCCCCAAGTCCTTGGCTGATTCCATAAACAATCACTACCCCAAATACAAAACTCCAGTGTAATTCCAAAGCGAGCATTTTGAACCAATAAACTGGTGTGCAAACAGCATTATAGATCCCATTCTTTGGCTGATGATTTTCTTCAACTTCCTCTTTGTGAATTGGAATAATCTCTTCCTCCCCCATTTTTATCATAAAACAAAATCTTACAAACTCCCACTACAAATACAATAAGAACCCAGATCTAAACCCTATGGTTTCTACAGATTTCTGAAAAAAATATCTTAGAAAAGTAGAGGGATCTTGATTCATCTTGAAAACCTATGAAAAGTCAAAAGAAGTAAAATTTCTCATCTGGGCTTTTTGATCTGATAACTCTGTTTCTAAGCTAAAGATTTAACCAGAAGAACACAAAATGTTATTACAACTTGGCAGACATTGCCAATGTTTAATCAAGATTTCTCTCTCCAACATGTGGAAAATAATGTCAATTTAAGGAGTAGATTTCAAGGCAGCAGGTTGAAGGGATTTTAATACAGATTAAATAAGCTAATAATATCACCTGTCTACGTCAACGAGGTATAATTTATCACCTAATCCAAAGGAGTACAAGCAGGAAGGAGAAGCAAATTACAACACTCCACGACTTTTTTAAAGAGAATTTAGAACCATATTTCAAAAACTGAGGAACTGCGATGCCACCACGTTACACGGTTACAGTCAAGAAAGCAAAGGATTAAACAATATGGATGAAGGACTGAAAAAAATTCGACAAATAGATTAAACAACTAACTTGTCCAATTAAGCCCCTGTTTGACACATTATTTTTTTCATTTCCACTCTTCTACTCATTTTCAACCACACATTTTTTAATAAAATAATATTTTCCATCAAATCAATAACTTTTCATTTTTTTTTCAACCACATATTTTTCATCACTTCACTTCAGAAAATACATTCTATCATTTTAATATGCACCAAACACTCTCCAATTTATGAAAGGGAAGAAAATTGCAGGAAGAAAACGAGGTATCTCTTTGGTCTTTGCCATTGTTTGTCTTATTGAAGGTTGGTTTGCCAGTTGCTTAACATCATTGTTTGTCTTATTGAAGGTTGGTTTGCCAGTTGCTTAACATCTATAGGGCAAGACTTTTCATATAAATTTGAAAAGAAAATCTGAAGCAAATGGTCCCTATCCTATGACTTTGCACTCAAATGGTCCCTATTCTTTGATTCTTGACACTTTTGCGCGCTAATAGTACCCTTTTAAAAGACTTGTGTCAACTCCGGCCATTAATTTCGGACGTGTATCTCATGTGGACAAATTGACAAGGATAAAATTGTCCACACGCTATGCTAAACAGTTATGTCCTATAAAAAATAAAAGGTAATAAAAAAGTAAAAGAAAAAAAAAAATACCCACCCCACCCTCTCTTGGAAGACCCATATCTCGCCACCCCCTCAACATCCCCGCCACTGCTGTCGCCATCAAACATTTATAATAATTTCATCGATTCGTCCAACATTACAAATCACTAGAAATTCAAGATTTAGAAACCCTAAAAAATTATTCATCATCTTCCACACGGTATGTTTCGGGGATAAATTTTAATAATATCACGAAATTTTGCACTTAGTATCACGTCAATTATTGAACTTTAAATTGTTTTAGATGCACTCTGTACGACGGATTTCGCGTATTAAAATATAGAAATCGTTACAAATCGTATTTTTAGAAATATAAATGAATAAGAATTTTATTGTAATTGCAAAATTGTAAAACCCTCTGATTAAT